ATGATTGTTATAAAGGACAGAAGGCTATTTATAAGAAATAAACAAGCACGGTAGGCAGACAGAGAACATAAATTACTGTGATGCAGAAAGTGATGTCGATCAGAGAGAGAGGACAATATATATTGGTACAGTAGAGCGACAGACCTCCGAGTTAGAGGACGGAGAAATATCCATCAGGACAATATAGAAACTACAGTAGGGAAACAGATCTCCTAGGTATAGGGCGGATAAATATATGATGGTTAATTAATGAGAAGTGAGGTAAGGGAACATACCTCCAGCTAGAGGGTAGTGAAATGTCTACTGGGACAGTAAATACAGTTACAGTACCTTCGAGGTAGACGATAGAGAAATGCTTATTACGATAATATAGACAGTCACAGTCCTCCGAGGTAGAGGATAGAGAAATGCCTTCTGGAACACTATAGAGTTGTACAGTTTCTCCGAGGTAGAGGTATGTCTACCAGGACAGTATAGAGAGTCATAATACCTCCGAGGTAGAGGATAGAGAAATGCCTTCTGGAACACTATAGCCAGTCACAGTACCTCCGAGGTAAAGGTATGTCTACTAGGACAGTATAAAGATGTACAGTAGCTCCGAGGTAGAGGGTAGTGAAATGCCTACTAGGACAGTATATACAGTCACAGTACCTCCGAGGTAGAGGATAGAGAAATGCCTTCTGGAACACTATAGCCAGTCACAGTACCTCCGAGGTAAAGGTATGTCTACTAGGACAGTATAAAGATGTACACTATGCTGCATCGGCCGTTGCGCCGAATAATCAGGGCCGCGTCTGGAGTTTAGGCAGAGGGCTTCATTCGAAAAATTCCCTACAGTCTCCCAATGCCAAATTGAATATTCTTCAATGTAACATCAATGGCATATCTACTAGTAAGAGCAAGGTTAAACTGGATGAGATATTATCACTGGCGGACTCCAAAGGCGCTAATATCATTTGTCTGCAAGAAACCAAGCTTAAGCCCAACCACCTTTTTAAGGTAAAGGGCTTCAAAATACTGAGAAAAGACAGGCCTTCAGCAGATGGAGGAGGAGGGCTCCTGACCCTCATCAAAGACCTTTGCTTTGAAGAAATTGACACTCCTTCAACAACCCATACTGAACTACAGGCCTTCAAAATACACCTACCCAATCAGAGACCCCTAACAATTGTGAATACTTATCACCCACCCCAAAAACCAGGCCCAGAACTAGACTTAGTTGCACACCTACTTGATCCCAATATACTCATCCTTGGAGACTTCAACAGCAAGCATCAATCTTGGGGCTGTTCCCTCAACAACACTGAGGGCTCTATCCTCAGCACCTTCATTGATGACAACAACCTCACAATTGTGTCCCATGGTCCTACCTACATCTCTCACTCCTATAGAACTCCGCAAACACTAGATCTCACCATCACCTCCCCATCTATGCAACAGTTCATAAAAAACAGCACCCTGAAAAGCATCGGAAGCGACCATCTCCCTCTGCTAACAGAAATCTCCACCTCCACTTCCCTTCCAAAATCTTCACAAAGACTTTTCTGGAACTATAAAAAAGCCTCCTGGAATTCATTTAAAACATTGTTAGATAGTCTTCTCAGCAAAATCCCACCAAATTCCTCTTTGGAAGACAGGTGGAAGAACTGGAAGTCTGCAGTCCTAATTTCTGCCAAACAAAATATCCCCAGAGGAAACAGAAAATTCTACATTCCTGGATATAGAGAGGTACTAGATCTTTTGAAAGATGAAATAGAAGATAGGAACCAAGTTTACCAAGACCTCATTGAGAACACCAACACCCTCCTCATCAGAGATCACAATCACCTTGCTGCAAAAATTAAGCTTAAGGCCGACCAAATCAAACAGAATAAGTGGATTGAACTCTGCTCTTCAATTGACCCAAAAACCAGCGACACAAAACTATGGAGACTACTACATGCCCTCAATCAGGACACTCCATCTCACAGCAGCTCAAATACCTTCAAGGATAATTCTGGAAATCCCCTCACAGACAAATACAGCATAGCAAATCATTTTGCCCACCATTACAGCTCCACCGCAAAACTTAATTTTAATTTACAGGATAAAATAATAGGTAGAAAATCTAGGCTCACCAGAAGCCTTGCAAAATCCAAACCCAGCCACAACATTTTCAGTAAACCTTTTCAAGAGCATGAACTGGACGAAGCTTTAAGTCATCTTGACCCTACAAAAGCTCCTGGTCCAGACAACATCACTGGACCCATGTTGAAAAACCTCAGCTCCCATGCCAAACTAGAACTCTTAAGCATTTTCAATTACAATTGGAGCTCGTCTACCCTCCCTAAAGAGTGGAAACATGCCACAATTATCCCCATCCACAAACCAGGCAAGCTTGAGAACCACCCAACCAACTACAGACCTATCTCTCTGACCTCTATTCCCTGCAAAATCATGGAACACATGATTCTCAATAGGCTAACTTTTCATCTTAACCTCAACAACCTACTAGACCCTCACCAAAGAGCTTTTAAAAATATCAAAGCACAGAAGATTCAATATTTTACTTTGTTCAACAAATCCAGGACAGCTTCCATCATAAACCTACAGAATCCACTATAGCAGCCTTCATCGACCTTTCCCAAGCCTTCGACAGAGTCTGGAAGGAAAAACTAATTCTCAAACTCGATGAACTTGGAATAGAGGGAAGTATGCTGAGTTGGATCAGCAATTTTCTATCCAAACGCACCATACAGGTTAACTTCAACAACATCAAATCAAAAACCACTCGTATTTACCAAGGTCTACCCCAAGGATCAATCCTAAGCCCTATTCTCTTCAATATTTACCTAAATGATGTACACACTTTTATCAAACCGCCAGCTAAAATTGCCCTTTACGCAGATGACATAATCATCTGGGTCTCCAAAAACAACCTCTCCGATGCAGAACAATCTCTGAATAAAGCCATGAAAAATCTACAAAAGGTAACTCAGAAACTAAAATTATCCATCAACATCAACAAATCTGAAATCGGCCTCTTCACCATCAACAACCACCTTCGCCACTGGACCCCAAATATTTTCTTAAATAATTCAAAACTTCAATATTCAGATTCCCCAAGATATCTTGGTGTCACACTCGACCCTGCGCTCACTTTTAAAAAACATATTGACACCATGATAAGCAAAGCCAAAAATAGGCTCAAAATCCTGAAAAAAATATCAGGCTTAAACTGGGGTGCAAATGCCAATATCTTACGCACAACGTACCTTGCACTCGTAAGACCTATTTTGGAATATGCTACACCAGCCTGGATCAATGCAAGTAAAACTAACCTATCCAAAATATACAGAATCCAAGCAAGCGCAGCTAAAATTATCAGCGGACTTCGAGGATCCTGCCCAAATCGCATTGCTGAACTCGAATCCAACCTTCTTCCCCTGCACCTAAGGAGAAAAATCTGCTTTTCAAAATTTATAACAAAAAAGATTAACTCTCCAAAAGAACATCTTACAGGAAAATTTATTAGAAATTGGGTCCCAAACCAAAGATTAAAACGCCCCACACCTCTCAACATGGCTCACAACTCTAATATTTTAGACATCCCAATTAATCCCAAACACAGAACTTCCTATCCCCCACACAAAACTCGCAACAAACTCATCTGTTTCCCTCATCTACCAGACAATCCCCACAAACACGAAACTCAGCCAGAATTACTTAAAGCTTTTGGCCTCCAAATCATTGAGGAAAATAGCTCCCTCTTTGACATCACAATTTACACTGACGGTAGCCAACTTGAAACTGGACTGTCTGGCAGTGGAATTGCTATCTACAAAGATAAGATCCTGGAAAAATCTCCCTCTCCCACCCTAGACATCTTTCAGTTTATAAATCAGAACTCTCTGCTATAGATACGGCTCTAAAAGACATCAACATCAACTCACCAAGCAAAATAATAATCTACTCCGACTCAAGAGCAGCCATTTATACCCTTCAAAGCTGCTTCTCCAGTCAAGAACCTCTCCTCAAGAGCATTGCTAAGTCTGTAAACCGACTCCCAGCCAACAGCTCAGTCACAGTGCAATGGCTTCCAGCTCACGTTGGAATTCCTGGTAATGAGCTGGCAGACTCTCTGGCAAAAGCTGGAGCTCTTGGCCTACCTGAAGCAAGAGAATCCACCACCCAACTAGATGAAAGAAACCTCCTCCGTACCATCAAAACCCAATGCCTGCAGGAATGGAAATCTGATGCTGCACATGACTGGTACAGAGCAGGAGGGACAAGCACCGGTTCTGTCCTCCCAAGAGAACAACAGTCTTTGATTTCCAGACTTAAGTCTGGTCATCTACGGACAATGACTTTCCAGAATGGTTGCAAGGTTTTCCCACTATGTACTAAGTGCAATTCTCAGCCTGCAACCCCAAGACCTATTATTGACTGTATTACAAGCTTGATACCTTAGTGTGATTGAGTGGAGATAAGAAAGAAGAAGAAGAAGAAAGATGTACAGTAGCTCCGAGGTAGAGGGTAGTGAAATGCCTACTAGGACAGTATATACAGTCACAGTACCTCCGAGGTAGAGGATAGAGAAATGCCTTCTGGAACACTATAGATATGTATAGTACATCCGAAGTAGAGATGTGTCTACACTATGGAGATGTAGAGTACCTCCGAGGTAGAGGACGGAGGACGTCAGCTGAAGGATGTGCAGCTCCATGGACTTCTGCTCCCCATCCAATGTGATGGAGAGAGACTTGACTGGAGCGTCGATCTGCAGTTTGACGTCGTGCCATTTGTCGTCGGTCAGACCTGACACAAATAACACTGCTGTGAAGAATGGGCAAAGAAGAAGATAAACACTGTTAAATGTAAAGGATTTTCCGATCATGTAACTGGATATGATCGAAAATTTCTAAATTGTCTTTCATTAGAAAATCTACTTATATAATTGCCTTATTCTGTCTGTGTGAAGCTCACGGATAGATTTTGGTCAGAATGGATAAAATAAAAAAAGTGTCAAGGGATGGGAATCGAACCCACGACCTTCCGCTTACCGGGCAGATGCCATGACCACTAGGCCAGATGACCACAATTTATAATTGTAACAAATAGTATTTGAATCAAAACATTCAATCGGGTAAAACACGGGCGTTTCCCGGGTCATTCGGCTAGTATATTAATAAACGTTTAATTTTCAAAATTTAGAATAAATTGATCCACAGGTCACATATCTTACCTAGGCGAAGCACAAAGATCCCTGAATTTGTACAGAATTTTCCTAATAATTTTTATTACATCCAGTCTCGAGTTAGGGCTGCGAAAGTTTTAATAGCATTGTGTCCATATATCGCCTAGTGTCAGCATAATTCTAACTTAATATATAAGTAAGAGTAACCAAAAGAAGACGCCTTCCCTTGTAGAGATCAATGTAGAGCCATTTGTTATATTAAAAAATAATTGTTCGAAGAAAATGAAGATCGAGATATGAAAACTGAAGACAAGAACATCAGATCGTGCTACTGAAAAGTGTAGAAACACCTCTTCAATGTATCGGAATTATATAAGCTAATCGTGGCTCTTTTTGAACCAAAATAATTATTAGCAAGCGCTCATTCCTGATTTTAAAAAACGAAGGAAAATCCAAACGACAGCCTTCAAGACATTGGCCATCAACAGTGGTGTGTAAGGTGTATCTTGAACCACCCACAAAGAATGGTCTTGAGGATTCTAAGGCATTAAGAAAAAAATCTAAGAAAATTGGCAAGGATTGTTTGAGCCAATTATAGAAAAGAGATCTTCCAATATTTTCGACTCTCTTCTAAGCTAAGTAGAATGTTATTATATGAAAAAATTAATAAATATATCTAATATACTTTTTCTTTTCATACTATAGATTTTTCTTTTTTATTTTTATTTTTTAAAATGAATTTAAGAAAGCATAAAACACTACTATTTACGTTTTTCAACGTAAATATCAACATTTAGTTTATATTTATTTCGACAGGTGGCAGTATATGTAGCGATCAAACTCACAATCAGGGGGATTGCTCTAGGTCAGGGGCTGGCAAACCTTTGAGTCGAAAGAGTAGAAAAATACAATTTACAAAATTTCAAAGTTTTCAAAGAGCCACAACATATCTTTTCTTTCCAACAATAAATAGTACTCGCATAAAAAAATATTTGCGAATAGAACTATATAAAGAGCCGAAGCTTCACATCCAAAGAGCCGCATGTGGCTCGCGAGCCGCAGGTTGCCGACCCCTGGTCTAGGTTATTATATTAATAATAGACAAATACACTCGGATAAATTCAATTGATCTAAAGGGATGTTTGCCAAACGATAATTATTTTTGAAATATTAATATTTATGTATAGTAGTATTGGAGTGATATACGAATTCATCAATATATTATTTTCATAATCATTATTTGTTTTCATGATATGCAAACTAGACTGTTATCCGACCAATTTGCATTTTACCTGATTTAAACTAAGAGAGTGAATCCTCCTAGACCTATACTTTATATTCTTTGGAAGTTTTAAACAGTTTGCTCATATATTGAGGAAACGTCTACATATCTATTGAAAAATGTCTACTACCAGAGTAATTTGCATCTTGTAGGGTCGAAAGTAACCATATTAGTACGTAGAATAAAAAGCGCATTCCAGAATAGAATGTTTTTAGAACGTTCTAGAATATAATGTAGAACTATATATATATGGTAATTTAAACCAACAACCCATTATTGTATACTACTTATAACAAGATTGTCATGTTGTATATAGAAACACATCTATAAATAATTATACGCATGATTGACATGTGTCATTGCATCACCATATGTAATGTACTTTGTAAAAACTGAGGATAAATAAATAAAACTATGTAATAGATTAAGAGCTGAGTTAAAGCAAGATTGAGAAGTTCAAAAGCGTCTAAAATCGAGAGAAAGGTCCAACAACCCTGAAGAGGAATTTGGCAAGCCCTTTGCCATCGAGGTCAAAGGGTGCAGAATGCCACAGACGTTCAAAGTCCTAATTCTCACATCTCACCACCCCCCTCCTCGAGAATGGTATATAAAAAACCTCGGTTTTAGCCCTAAGCACACAGTCACTTCACCGTCGGCGTGAGCCCTTGTTGGTCGTAGCCAGGACCACCCCATCGCTATGTAAAACAGTAAGAACTTTTTCTAACTCCGTCTTGCTCTTAGCTCGACTTTTATCTGTTCATGGAACTTGCCTACTACAACTGTGTCTCCTCGTTTTTTGTGTGTGGACATTCCCAAGCTTTCCACTCTGCCTCGACCACGACTGCCTGTACTCTGTGAGAACTGTTAAAGGTCCTACAAGGTGCAGAGAGGTACTGGAAAACTCTCCACGCCCTGACTGTCCCTCTCGGTTACTACAGGTTTGACCCTCGGTTACCACAGCTTATAGAGAGAGTCGACAGGATGCCTCATCACAGATAAGTCGACTGGACCTTATCACATATAAATATGTGGTGAGGTCTGGTAGCCTCTTGTAGAATCCTGTCGACTAAATCTGTGATGAGGTATCCAGTCGACTTAAACTATGGTCTGAGTCCCTGTAACTCTCGCTATACTGTGTTGACCGAGAGGAACAGTCAGGATGGGGAGTTTTCCAGTTACCTCTCTGCACCTTGGAAGATCTTTTACAGTTCTCGCAAAGTACAGGCAGTCGTGTTCGAGGCAGAGTGGAAAGCTTGGGAATGTCCATACACAAAAAACGAAGACACAATTGCACTAGGAAAGTTCCATGAACATATAAAAGTTGAGCTAGGAGCGAAAGATGGAGATAGAAGAGTTCTTAAATTATAAAACTATTTTTAGTGGCGTATTATTCTTTTTAAAATAAAACAATTTCTACTGTCCTTACTGCGATGAAAAAATTAAAGGGAGGGCCTGGCTCATCAGTGGTGAACCCTCCCAGCGGTTTCGCCAGTTTAATCTACCATACCGCTGTTATATTGCATTTTTGGAACTTCCTTTTATAGGTGACCGTTGTAAGAATCTTGGAATGGGTATTTTAGAAGAACTATGGACATAAGCTTTTAGGACAGCAGAATTAAATATAATTATAAATATATAATATGCTTCGAGCAATCGCTCTTCCGCAAATATCAAATTGTGTCTTTTATTAGAACAATAATGTTATGATGAACTAGAGCGCCATCTGTTATCAAATTATAAAACTATTTTAGTGGCGTATTATTCTTTTTAAAATAAAACAATTTCTACTGTCCTTACTGCGATGAAAAAATTAAATTAAAGGGAGGGCCTGGCTCATCAGTAGGACAGTAGAAATTGTTTTATTTTAAAAAGAATAATACGCCACTAAAATAGTTTTATAATTTGATAACAGATGGCGCTCTAGTACATCATAACATTATTGTTCTAATAAAAGACACAATTTGATATTTGCGGAAGAGCGATTGCTCGAAGCATATTATATATTTATAATTATATTTAATTCTGCTGTCCTAAAAGCTTATGTCCATAGTTCTTCTAAAATACCCATTCCAAGATTCTTACAACGGTCACCTATAAAAGGAAGTTCCAAAAATGCAATATAACAGCGGTATGGTAGATTAAACTGGCGAAACCGCTGGGAGGGTTCACCACTGATGAGCCAGGCCCTCCCTTTAATTTTTTCATCGCAGTAAGGACAGTAGAAATTGTTTTATTTTAAAAAGAATAATACGCCACTAAAATAGTTTTATAATTTGATAACAGATGGCGCTCTAGTACATCATAGAAGAGTTCTTACTGGGCTACATGGTCGATGAGGAGGACCTGGGGTACAACCGACGAGGGCTCACGAAGATGGTGAAGTGACTGTATTTATAGGTTAAGACGGGGGCCTTATGCGACAGGGGCGTGGATCGTCTGGTGAATTCTACTGGCGCCGTCCTGACAGTTTCCAATCTATCTTTAGACCTTGTTGTGGGAATTCTAAATCTATCTCGATTTGAGACGTTTTTATTTCTATTTCTTTAGCTCAACTCTTAATCTATTACAGAGTTGTATTTATTTATCCTCAGTTTGTACAAATTACATTAAATATGATGATGTAATGACACATGTCAATCATGCGTATAATCATTTACAGATGTGTTTCTATTATACAACATGAAAATATTGTTATAAGTTATATACAATATGGGGTTGTTGGTTTAAATTACCATATATATATATTATATAAAGGGAAAAAAATCTGCTTGTATTTAATTATCTTGAGGATTATACTATGTTAGTTATTTGCTGGGTCCTTTTTAGGACTAAATGGTATTGGTAATGCAGTCGTGGCTAAAATCTTGAAAGTATAATAACAAAAATGGTCTTGATAAGAGATTGTTTTAATTGAGCTAAGGTAATATAAAGAACATAATTTGATTAAAGTAATGCCTGGCTTAAGGCGTAAGAATAAAAAAAAATGAAAAGCTTATTTACATAATGTACAAAGTTTTTAGCCGGCCAACGGGGAACAACAACGAGTTTTTATAGGAGAAGCACGACCTCTGGCGGTTGATTTAGAAGTATTTGTAACTATGAAATATATAATTATAAATATAATAATAGTTTAATATAACATATATATATATATATCAGAAGAACTGATTGGCAAATTCAAATTGACTATTATATTGAATATTATATATATACAGTCTGTATATATCTGTATATATAGTATATTTTAAACTGTATTATAATGACACTTTTAGTGTATGTCACATGTCTTCCAATTAGTTAGAGCCTATACCTTATTATTAAAATCTACACTATTTCTATTTGCTGCCACCCCATATTTTGTATATAAACTACACTGTTGTCCAAAAAATAGGAAACTTTTGTTTTTTAATGATGTTTTAAAATATACAACGCTAAAAGCTAAAAAGTAATTTAATTAGGTATTTTAAGTCATGGAATTTATTTATCGCAACCATTCGATTCGGTAAAATTGAAAATATGCAAATTTTTGCTTGTCTTTATAAGTGTGCTATTTAGCGTGTCGTTTACCCCATCTAAGAATTGTCCAATTATAATTTTATTTAATCCTTAGTTAATTAT